AACAGTGTTTCGGGAAAGAGGGTGTTTAATTGTGTATGTTCTGCTGACTTAATGTTTGTCAAGATTGTTTGAAGCCCTTTACAGGCCATTGCACAAAGCTAATGGTGCAGCAACTTGCAAGCTTTTCTATTTTCTCTAATGTCTCCTTTTGTCATCTTCTTCTAGGAATTATCCACTTCATCTGGAGGGGAAATTGTTCTTTGAATTACGCTGAATCTGAACCTCAGTAGCTCTCGCTGTCATTTGCCTTTTACCCTTTATGTTGCCTTAATGGTTTTTACAGTCTGTTTCCTTCCTGTGACCGAGGTTGAGGACAAAGTCACCTTAGATTCCACTGAGCAGCCCAAACAACAGCCACACTTGTCTCTAGACAACAACAGGGGGAAAACATCCAGTCTGGAAGAGATTCTCTATGGTGTTTGTGAAGGTCGCAATTTGGTAAATACGGGGCCATGTGCCTTTGGGTTATATTGGGCGATCTTTCAACAATAAGTACTGTAGTTACAGTACCAGCTGGCAGTCAGCTGGTCAGTCTCTTACCAGTTGGATTCTATGAAAATGTTACTATATCAGTGATGTTATATTAGCACCTTGTGTATATACAGTCTAAACACAGCAGGAATTTAATTTTGAATAAAATTGAAGCTCAGCAAGGACCCTCTTTGATCAGAGGACTCAGATATTTATTGACTTAATTACTGTGCTTGTTACTCTTTGGACAAGGGAGGAGTAATAATCCACTCCTGAACTTCTGACGGGGATACAGGGTTGAAGTTTTCTCACCCGCAGGTTTTCTCTTTGTCAACAGGCCTTCGCCCTGTTGTAAGTTATCAGCCTGTGTGAAACATACAGTATTTGCTATGTAACTGCATATTCCACTGATACAATGTTTAGCAGCTGTGTGTGGAAGAAAGCAGCCTGGACAGCTTGAAGTTAGAGACTGGGCTTCTTACCAATGTAAACCACTCTTGAAATGTCACTATTTCTTTTTGCCCCCTGGCCAACAAAAACCAACTCATGACATCACAACTTCCCAACCCCAAAGCTGCCCCAATACATTTGCCTTTCAAAAAGCCAAGATATAGCCTTAAAGTTATTGTTGTAGTAATAAGTGCTCTCTTTTATCCAACTTCTTATATTTGCATTACTTGGCATGGCTGATTAAAGGAAATCGGTCAGTTTGGGAAACACGATTCGCTTTCTTGCTGAGAGCTGGATGAAAAGATTGATATTGGAAACGGGGGGAAGGAGCTAGCCTATCTCTGTCCAAAGGTAACCAACCTCCTACCAGCTAACTAATTAGTACATTACATGTCATTTGTTTAATCTCTATAAAAAGCAAAGTGTAAAAACAATATTTTGGGGGGTTATGTGCCAGACTTTTTCCCAGAATCTTGTCACCGTGAGGTTTCCAGGGAATTAGAAGATATTCCAGGTCGGCTGCTGGCAGTAGCTTCATCTTTACCATACCAGCTCTCATATCTGTACACAAAATATTGAGCTAGAGCTAGAGTTATATGTCATTTGTTTAATCACCATAAAACCAAAGTGAAAAAACTATATTTTGTGGTTTTATGGGGGTTGTCACCGTGAGATTTCGGTGACTCCAGATTAGCATTACCACAACTTGTCATTTTTGCACTTTTGTACAGTTTGAATAAATGTTTTTCTCTTTGGACAGAGCTAGGCGAGCTGTTTTGCCCTGCTCGTCCTTAAAAGCTAACTGTCTCCTGGCTTTTTAGTTTTATACCGACATGAGAGTGGCATCAATCTTCTCAGCAAGAACGCAAATGTTTTCCCGAATATTAAGCTATTCTTTTACATCAAATTTATAAAGGCACAGAAACAAATCTCATCCTAATACAAACAATCCCAACGTCCCTGTGAACAACACAATATCTCATCTTACAAACTGCTTCTAAAAGATTTGGTCTTTTGCTCTTTTTCATCCATTCACATGCTGCCGATCTCTTAGTGACTTTCCCATGCACGGTGGATTCTGCCAGCGCAGTAACAATAGCCTTGGGTGGAGTGCACAGCTGAGCTGGAGTCTACAGCATGTGCTTTGATTGCTGGAATGGCGGACAGAGTGAGGAGCCATCCTTAGGAGATTTTGTTACTTATTGAATTGTCCAGGTCAGTACGCTATGCTCCAGACCTGGGTCAAAACTGTCTAATAACACTTATTTGCTTCAAGCTGGATGTGGATGATTCTCTGTTTTGGATATTTATTGCACAATGTTCATGATGCTCCATAGCAGTCAAAACTATGCAAATTCTGTTTACTAAAAATCTTTCTTCACTTTAGTTTTAAATTCTTCTGCCTTCATTGGATGCATCTAGAAACATAACCAATGCAACACTTGTTGAATCTCTCTATGGTCTGTAGGCTATTCCTCTTTCTTGCTTTCCCCTCTTGCTCACCACTGCACCTCATTCTCTCTGCTGTACTGGCATCAACACTGGGCTCCGAGAGGCCTCCGGAGAGGGGGAAAGCATGGGGGAAACTTGGAACAATATATTGTAGGTAAATAAATGCTCTGTCTGAATAAGAATGCCTTTCCAAAACAGACCCAAGGCCCCTCAGAGCAGCATGTGCCCCAAATAATGCCCTAATTACTCTTCTGATAATATGATAATAATGCTTCGACCTCTTTTGAAGTCACTGGGTTCACTGCACAAACAAGGACCAGCACTCTGAGACTGAGAGAATATCATCTGGGGCCTTGAGGAGACTGCACGTGAAGAAACTTTGTGTGTGTTTGTGTGTGGGGGAGAAAGAGGGAGGGAGGGAGAGAGACATACAGTGGAAGTACAGTATTGTACTCAACCCTGGTTCCAGATTTTGCACAATGAAACTAAACTTTTGACTCCATTATTTAGTCTTGGATCAGAAGCCTCAAATCAAATCAAAGATCAAATAAACATGAAGATAGTGTGAAATGCTGGGAAGCAGGTGTATGTTAAGCTAATCTGATGATATGGCCGATAATATGGCTATAAACCTAAGGATAGGATCTCAGCACTGTGTCGATCAGAAACTTTGGCTGGCGGGGCGTGCTGGCTGGAGAGTGGCCTGATTATTGATACCAGATGAGAGGATGAGTCAAAATACTCAGCAGATGTGACGGTGCATAGTCATAACAGAAAAATAGGAAACAAAATCACATCATAACCCAACTTAGATTGAATGGGTTAAATTAATATACAGATTGTTATGGAAATGGCTGGAAAATATTTTGCATAAAATTCATGTTTTTTCTAAAATGTACGCCCAGTAGTAGCTCTGTTTGACTCTTTTACTACACTATTCAGAGTTCACTCAAAGGTAGCTGATCGTCTATTTGTGTTTAAAATTAGGGCTGAAGTGCTATGCTTTCTCATTGTGCACCAGCCTTCCCTCTCTGGCTCCCTACTACGTTGTCAGCTGTGTTATTTTAAGGTAAAAGCAAATAAAGCTAACTTCTCCAATTCGTACGGACCTTTAAATATTTGAAGATTTTGCTGTTAAATTCAACAGGGAAAAATGCATTTCTGCTTAGTGTCCTGGCGTTACGCAGAGCACTGGATCAGGTCTAGGAAGTAAAAGTATTCAACTAATCTGTCATGATTTACCCTCTAACTCTGACACTCCCAGTGGAACCTTCGTTATCCCGAGGAAGAGCAGCAGTGGGGAGTAGGAGCCGAAATGTATGGATGGAGTGAAACGGAGGAGAAAATCATTGCTGCGCACCGCTCTTGAGTGATATATCCCCTTCCAGCCATTCCAGCACCTGAAAAGTCCATCCCTTCCAAGACGATTTTTGGGAAAGCACCAGTTGTCTGCAACAAGAGCGGAGGAGAGAAAGAGTGAGAGAAAGGAAAAAGGGGGAGGAAAATTGTTCCTGCGTCACGTTTCTTTAATTTGTTCACCAGCTGCCAATGAAAATGATGACCTGCAGAAGGTTTTTTTTATTTTCTCTTCCTGGCTCTGCATCTGCCCTAGCAAACCACACAGCTGGAGCCACACACTGAACAAGTGTAATCTTTATAGTATAATGAATACGACAAAGAAGACTGATAGGACACATGGACCCAGCTCACACTGATTTGACTCATAAAACTGCTGGCTTCCTCCCACCCATGAGTTTATGTGAATGTCCTCACCAGTGACCAGTGGAGCATCTGAAGTGCAAATTTGTATCACCTGCATATGGAGCTGATGTGACAACTTGATGGATAAGAGTGATTAAACAATTTAATTAAGACAATATTGTGACATTGAGGGTCCATATTTAAAAAGATAAAATGTCAAATATTAACACAAGTCACATCCATATAAGATCCAACACACACCACACAAACAACATAGATGATAAAAACTTGTATCATAATTGTTTTTTGCTTTTGAGAATCCAGAATAAAAGTAATTAATAGTCATTTAATATGCTCCATCCTCCTTGGTGTATTTTATTAATCAAATTGTCTTTCACATCCTGTAGCTGTGCAAACCTAAAGCAGATGTCGTGATGAAATTGGGGAAGATTTGCCGGGAAAGGGTTAGGAGAAACCAAACATATTGTCTCCAAATCAAATCATGCAGTGTTTCAGGTGACAAGGAGGGGCTGTGCGTCTTCCTGCATCGTCTACAGCAATATATAAACCCGCAAAGACGGACTTCTCCCGAAACACTCACAAAGTTTGCAAAGCGCTAAAACTGCTCACTTGCAGCCCTCCCTCTTTGTAACCCATTACTGAGGCTTTAGAGGTGATACAGCCCTTGGCAACGCAGGCACAGGGTACCGCTGCGCAAGAAAAGGTAGGACCAAAGATTGTGTAAAGGAATGTCCCCGGTACTGTATTGTAAAGCACCGGGGTTTGAAGCTTGGTTTACGCATATTTGAATTGTAATATACTCAATGTGTGCGCACCACTGCAACACTTTAAGTTTGTCTTCTTGCTTTCTTTTCAGGTCGGTACAACGCGCGGGATATTCTGTCTGAAGTTTCCTCAAACCAAACATGAAACCTCAGTTATTTGCCATAGACATAATACTTTTGTGCCTATCTTGCGGAGCAAGTGCATTGGCAACGAGTATTCCTGCCGTGTCCACGTCCAATTTCACCAATCTTGGCGCAGCGCACAACTATGGAACAGACACCACGACCATTTCTAAAGTCAGGAGGAAGCGTTATATTACTCAGAACGACATGCTTGCCATTCTTGATTACCATAACAAAGTAAGAGGGAAGGTGTTTCCCCCAGCATCCAACATGGAATACATGGTAAGTGAAAGCTTTCATTCATACTTAATTTGTCTTTATCAAGGTGTATGTATTTCCACTCAATGCATGATATTCCTGGATCCATATATTCCATACCTACCTATAGTGATTTTTTATGATCATGTATAAAATGATGTTCTCCTAGTGACCTAACTGCATGCGTAAAGTAAAATAATTGGTGTCTTATGAAGTGATGGAGAATAATGATCTGATTTTAAAAGATGTCGTCTTTTTAAGGAAGTAAAGTGACAAATGTCTTTACATTTCTTGGCACCTTCAGCTGTTGAGCAGATTGCACTGCAGTAGACCACCAAAGTAGTCACTTCCAGAGGAAGAGGGGTCATGTATGGTACCAGTAACCTGCTGGCAGTGTCATATGGACAGAGCAGTAGTGGTCACTTGTAGACCTGTTAGAAGTGATGGCTTACTGTTGTAAAGGTTGCAAGTCCAAACATTTCAAAATAAGACTTCTGTTCAAATCTGTTATCATGGAGTAAAGCAGTGTAATTATAATTTAAGTGTTTTGAAAGGCTGTTCCAAGATCAGCAACTGAGCTGACGTATTTCCATTTAAAATTGGCGGGATCTCCATTCTCTGTAGTAATAAGATGCAGTGAAGGTGTCTCCTCCCTTGATAAATCTATTACAGAATAAGGTAATCGGAGGAAGTCTCTCCTCATTCCTCCAGTCACAGTCCATTCCAAATGAAACCATACACGTGTGGCTGTTGACAAGTTTGGATATCTGGTATTCTTCAGGCTATCCAGCCCCCTCTCTGCTCAGTCAAAGAGTTACACGAGACACTGGGCAACTAACTTTCTCCGCTTATGTAACTGATTTGATGGATGACTTTTGCGACTTGCCATGGTAACACCTGTAACAGTGCTAAGAGCTCAGAAAGCACCGACCCTTATCTCACATCTCGCTGCAGAAAGAAAAATCTGGTGATGATATTTTCCTTCAGTTATGTAATGTGTTTCTATGCTCCCATCATGTCTCTGTGTGTCTAGGTGTGGGACGACACTCTGGCCAAGACAGCCGAGGACTGGGCTCATGCCTGCCTGTGGGAGCACGGGCCACCTAACCTCCTCAGGTTCCTGGGTCAAAACCTCTCCGTCAGGACAGGACGGTGAGTGACCTTTGACTCCCCTCCCCCTCCCCAACATCTGCTGCTCCTCTCAGGGATGACTCTCTTGCGGCAGTCATGGTCGTTGCCTTGCAGCCCCCTTCGTCTTTCTCCTAAAAGTTTTTGCACTGTGACCCGGTGACTGCTTGAGGAATGCTCCTGTGACCCTCCAAATAAACAAAAGTTGTGTTTTCAGCCATGACCAATGAGGACAAAGGCGCATCCCTTTAGTGGGTCTTGACTTTCCATTTGGAAACACAGGGCACCTTCACGTGTTTCTACACTTTTAGGTTTTATTGAGGAACAACATGACACTCAAGGGAATACAGCTCATTCTGACTATTCCTTGAGACTCACTGAGAGAGTTCTATACTGAGCTTATTTTCTGAAAAAAAAAAACCCATAGTAGTAAGACCATTGTGCTGATTTGCAAAAAAACCCCATCAGATTTCTTTAATAAGAAATAGTTTCCAATTTAGCTTACTAACCTTTCAGTTAATTGGAGTTCACTCGCTGGAGTTCAGATCAAGTATTATTCTGTGAAATACTCTTAATGCCAAAGAAAATGAATAATGTGCACAGATGGCTGTAGTTATTCATAGGGCCTGTGCCATGACACAACCAAATGATGCAATAATCCCTGAATTAGACAGGTGCAGAAAACATCATGTACATGTTTTGTTCCTACTTATTCACATTCAGGGTCATGGAGCCATTGGGCTCTGTCAGACCAAATGTTTGGATATCTTACAAATAAACCTGGCCATTATGGAAGCAATCATGAGAATTCAATCTTTGTTAATTATTAAAATTGTTGCTATCTGGCTGCAAAAAATGCTTTGGCCCATCTTCAAAGTGCGTGTGTCGATTTCCTGAATTGTGGCCAGTTTGTCAATCGTGAACGTGGTTTTGAGGCCGTGTGTATTGTATTTCAGAACCTCAGGTCGTTTCATTGTTATTGTGGTTAGAGTAACCACCCCCGAAACACCACAAATGACTTTTCTAATTAAATTCACATAGAATATAAAAAATGTTGGTGGCAGTGCACTGGAGGAAACCGGAGCACCTGCAGGGAACGCACACAAACAAAGAAATAACTGAAAACTGTGAATGCTACACACATAGTGACAAGGCTGGGGTTTAATCCCAGGAGCTTCTTGCTGGGACCCGACAGAGCTAACCACTAAGCCTACATTCTGCCCCATAGATGCTATTTTTAGGTGATTATGCTTTTTTCGAATCACAGATCCAAGTCATTGTCTTAAAGGTTTCTGTGCTTCCTAAACCCTGAATACACCTGCGGCCAAACTGCACAAGTGCCTCTTCATTGCTCATCATCAGTTGTGATATGTATGTGTTTACTGAGCATGTCTGTCTTCCGTTCACAGCTATCGATCCATTCTTCAGTTGGTAAAGCCATGGTACGATGAGGTCAAAGATTACTCTTTTCCATACCCACGCGACTGCAACCCTCGATGCCCTCTCAGATGTTATGGACCCATGTGCACCCATTATACACAGGTACACAAACAACAAGTCAATCAGTTTTGATTTTAACACTGTTGAAATGGTTTAACAATGGCATCAATTGGCTGCTGATGTGTCTTTTTTGCAGATGGTGTGGGCGACATCCAACAAAGTAGGCTGTGCTGTTCACACGTGCCATAATATGAACGTATGGGGTTCAGTGTGGAAGCGGGCAACGTATTTAGTTTGCAACTACTCACCTAAGTAAGTATAATAGGTCCATTTCCTTTAGACCATCTTGTATAATGTTAATTACATACTAGTAAGGAAGCCTGTTAATTCTAGCGAACCCATTAACCTGATGACGACAGGGTGACGACAGGCTTAATCCTGACACAGACCGCTCTGTTCTGTGCTGAGTTGTGAAATGCCACCCATGTTGCTGGGAGATTCAGATAACCTCGATACAAGGCTGTGAACCGGTACTGCATTACCAAAGCCCCGGAGACCCACGAAACAGAAAGAAAAAATAATCTAAAACAAAAAAATTCTAAGAATCAAAGCCAGTTTGGACTTGTGACTGACTTGTGACCTTGGTTCTTTAATCCCACTGGTTTGAGACATATGTACGAGTAACAGGCTCAGGACGTTGATGACCTATTTTAGCATGCTAATTGAAAGCGTGGCCTCCATTTTTTAAGACACAAGACTTTCTAGACATCCAGACACCTTATAGTACAACGCATCTCTGGTAGAATTCTCATTTGCTCACAACGTACAGATTGCTAAGTAAGTAACATTCTGCTCTGGACAATACATATGACATTATGACATTGTTTTAATCTTATCGCAAGGTCTATTTGTTAGATGTTCTGGAGCTTTTGATCATATCACATGGTATTTATCAGCACATCAAATAACGTCAGTGAATTTTTCTTCAGCAATGTGAAATAGTGATATGATTGAGAACTCCAGAACAGCTACTTAGACATTAGGATAATATTGTCTTGTCAGCAGCGGTTTCCAATGTCAAAAATGAACTTTTAACCTCAATATTTTCTTCTTTGAAATTCGCCAATATTCCTTCTGCAAAAGTATCTTGACTAATCTAATTTCAGTCACTAGGTTTTTCTTTCGCCCTATTCTATCGTTTGAGTTGTTATTTAGATCTTTAAAGAAAGACAAGAGGATTAGGGGCACATTATATGCTCAGTTTGTTGTTTATGTTATGTAATAGATATCTGACCACATTAAACCCAAAACCTGATTATTAGCTCATCTTTTACTCCTGCAATTTAGGATTAGGATTTTAGACAGTAAAGATATATAGGATAAAGTTTAAGTACCTCGATTGACTGTACATGTTTCTGTCTTGTAGAGGTAACTGGATCGGAGAGGCCCCTTACAAAGTAGGCGTACCCTGCTCTGCCTGCCCTCCCAGCTATGGGGGTTCCTGCAGCAACAACATGTGCTTCCCCGCTCTCAAGACAAACTACCTGCACTGGTTCAAATAAACACAGGTTTCCTCTCGACATAAGCTGACATCCTACAGTACCACAGAGACATTATTTTAATCCCGTAAGGATTTGCACAACACTTGTGGACCACACTATTTTGTATATATGGGCTTATTTAAAGATTCAAACATACATTTGAAGGCAGCAGACGATTTAGCGTTGATTACTTGTAAATAAACTGTAAATTAATTTCATTTGTACCAGACTTGCTATTGAAATATAATTTATGTGTAGAGTGGGTCCTTAAACACAGTATATACTGAATGTGGTGCTGCATACACTTTTGTTTTCATTACATTTGTTTACCATTAACAAAGGGGTAATTATAGACATAACAAGATCATAGCTGCTCATACCTGCTCACATTGGTGCTATAGGCATCACACCTTCATGTTGTGTGCTCTGCCTTTACAGGAATGTTGTGATATAAAGATCAAAGCTTTTGACCTCAGAGGGTAAAACCTACACTGGCAGTGTCAGCTTCGTAGCTGCCGTACAACAAACTACATTCTCAAGTCTATTGCAATTTTGTGTTCTGCAACAAATTTGTTGACAAAAGTGCACTTACTGTAAACTGAAAATACATGACAAAAGCAACATACATCAGTCAGATTGGAAGGTCTTTATTCGAGGGCCTGATGATGCCTCTGTTGTCAAAAGCCTCTGTTGTTTGTTTCAACATTTACACAGTGCATTTGCAGTTTTAATCTGCACTGATTAGGTTGTGTTTCATTACAGATGTTTCATTTCAGGCATTTCACAGGTTTCATTCATATTTCATGTAATATTTATGCTAAAGAGAGCACATACAATAAATCTGACCCACATATGTGTTTATAATCATATTGGTTTATTATATACCAATATATTGCTATATTGGACAAATCAATTGTTTGTATTTTGTTATGATCACTGATGTAGTTTGTTTTTTTGAGTTAGGCACTCAAGTGCACCTTAATTGTTTGCAAATTTCCGAAATACCAGGAAATTATTATTTTTTTTACATGTAGATAATCATAATACCTTGACTATCATAAAACAAGTATACTGTAAGTTATTCATTTTTATATGGGAAAAAATATTTAATGATAGTAATTTTTTATTGTTTTGTAAAAGGATTGTAAATATATCTAAAGGATGAAAAAGTAGCGAATATGGTTCATTTGCATGTCAACTTTTATAATGTTGAAGAATATTAACTATAATGTAAATTCACTTGGTACACTTCTATGAACAAAGCACTATTTGCAAGCAGATACGTCAACACTTTTAACGTGGCAAATGTATCAGAAATTATTTTCAAATCAGGACAGTTTCTCAGTATTACACCGAGAGGGACATATCATCAGCATAATGGAGACAAAAACAAAACAAGAAGAAAAAATAGGACGAAAAAAGTTGCCATTGATACAAACTTTACTGGGAAATAATGCATTACATAATAGGAAAACATTTTCCGCACTGACTGTATTTAAATCCACATTAACAACAAGCTATTTATGCAATGAAATGCGCTTTTCCTATTGTGTTTTGTATTTGTAATAAAATGTTCTATTTTGATTGTGTCCTTTTTTATTTTGTACAGTTCAACATGTCTTACCTCAGGCCAAATCATTATCATTGTTCATTGTCTGTGTTGTGTTGTCTGAGCTCTTCTTCGAGTCTGATATTGATTAGAGTCTCTGCCCAAAGCATCAATCTGGCTCTTTGATTCTCAGTTTTCACTTTCAATTAAAACAGTGCCATTTGCAAAGTCCAACATCCTGCGTATCAAAGGCTGAGAGGGAGAAGAGAAAACATGCTGGGGCTACATCTGAATCCTAATAAGAGAAGGTTGACTTTGGCCCTGTCTGTCCATGTCTACACAAATGAACAGACAACTGATAGGGTTTCAGGGGACCCTCTTGTTTGAGTTTGTCCAATGAAACCATTGACCTTACTGAGAGGGAGAGACAGGGAGCAGACTGGAATGCTAGAAGCAGAAAGAGAGAGAATGTGTGTCACCACCAGACATATACAGGCTAAATGTTGAGAGAGTTGGCAAGGAAAAAGAGACAATCTGAAAAAAATGACATTTTCTCTACGGTTGTAAAATGTTGTGTAGTTGATGGAGAAAGAAGGAGAGAGTTGGTAAGAGATAGGGACAAACATAGAGGGGGAGCCATAAATGTTCTAATGTGTTGGGCAGATGCTTCACTTTTGCTTTTTTTCTCCAGCTGGGATTGCAGGCTACTTTTCTAGACTAGCATGCATCAAAGGTATATGTAGAGGATCGACAGGCTATCAAACAAATAAGACTATAACATGTTTTCTAGATAAGATAAACATATGCGGTAGTCAAGTGTAAACTGGGCTGCAGAAAGAATATGTCCAGGCTGAAATGTTTTATGCACTTTGGCAGGTACAAACACAATGCTTCACATTTTTAGGCTAAACTAGTGTGAGATTTTTTAAACCACTTCCTGTACTTTATTAAGAAGCTTCATCAACTCAGCCAGCCTTAGCAGACCAGCACACTCCCTGGAACCAACCAGCAGAGCGTTTTCGAGGAACACATTAGTATGCATGGGAAAAATCCTTCTGTCTGAGCAGATGCTGGACATCGAGCCAAACAGATGATTGGTGGATGTTTAAAAGGTACATCAGTGGAATGAGGAGCACGATGCTATGATGAGTTAGACAACCTGCTGCTGACATTTATCTGGCTTATCAATCAGTGGCAGAGGCTGAGCAAAGGTTATGGCTTGGGTTAGGATGGAAGCAGGCTTTGATGGTTTAGGGATGAGGACAAAAAGACACTGAGTGTAAATAAAACTATTAATCCAGTATTCTATTATTAGTGTGCTCACCTTCCGCACATACACTACTCATATTCTTGTATATCTTTCCTATCATTCTTATAGAGGAACATCATTCAAACTTTAAAATGTTCAGAGTGCACTTATTTTTAAAAATATTATTAAATGATTCATCATTTTGGGCATTTTTTTTCATCATTCTCACATTCAAATATATTGACGGGGCATTCAAACCTTAATCATTGCCTGACACTTCAACTGCTTTCACCCATAGCAAATAACACTTGAACTTATTCTTATTCTTCAACTGACTGACTGACTATTTTCAGAGCTTACACCTAAATTCTACCTACCCAAACTCACCCAACTGCTGCTGTTATACACAACTTACTTTAACTACTTTCACTGCAGACTTGAGATGTCTTTAACATTCCACTTCAAGTGAAATTTTAAGTATACCACTTACACATCAGCTGACATTTAAACTGCTTTCATCTTTTTCTTTTCTCTTCAACTGACATCTCAACTTCAAATACTTACACAAAGACTGACTTCAAACCCTTTCTGGTCCGAACAACAAAAAAAGCTCCTCTAACTTCCTCAACACAATTTACTTTAAAAGCTTTCAGTGCGTGCCATTCAGCTAACACTTCAACTGACATTGTCATTCAGTTTATAAACTTGAACTGGTACTAATTTCTTTCAGGACTTCCACTTTAAACTGAATTTATCGCTTACATATCAACTGATGTTTCACTTCCTTTACACTGAATCTTCAACTTCTTTCAGCACTTTCAGTTTAACTGCCATTTCTGCTTCTTTCAGTATCAAAATGTCGACTACTACTGTTTCCATATGTCACCTATTTGAAATGTTTTATTTCAGAATGTTGCTGGTGAGTGTAGGTTTGTTTTATTCATTATTCATTTGTCACCACTTGGTCTGATGGTATTCTTTTATTTCATGAATTCTTCGCCCAACCAAGCAAGAAGGATACAATCTTTGATGAGCTCAGTTGAAGAGGAGGCAAAGAGAAGAAACAGGGCTTTTTAGTCTCCAGTTGCTACAGCAATAAATCCTGTTCAACAGGCTTATGCTATCAGCCAGTGCCAACATCTACTGAGGCCATGATGACGCATCTGTAAGCTCATCCGATGGTGCACCACTTTTCCTAATAACACACGTGAATGACTGACCTGTCAGATAAACTGTTATTGCTGAAACAGTTTTGTCTCCCTCAAGTGTGAAGGTGGTGAAACATTTATTTGGAAAGAAGATGGAGACTTCACAGGGACCACAGCAGGGTGATAGATTATTTCTGTAATATGAAGAGTGCAAGGTTTGGGGAGTCAGTTTCCAAAATTTGCAAGCAGCCATCCAACTACCATAATGGGAAGAAGTATGAGAAAGACTTCCAGTGAGTACAATACTGAAAAGGGAAGGATAAATCTTGTAGGTTTGCTGATGTTTGTTGTGCAGCTGCAGAAAATCTCCTCTCCTTCCTTTATCGTCTCTGTACTCTACAACCTCTATGCCCTCCCTGACTTCATGCGCTGAATGGTGGAAAACTTGGCCTCTCTGTGCCTCGAGGGGGATATTGGGAGAGGATTCCTTATAATCCATTGTATTTTTTTCTTTTTATTCTGTCCCTGTTAGAAGCACAACAACTATGTTTATTTTGCTCCCCTTGCAGCTCAACCATCGGAAATGCAGCCTGTGCCCGGTCCAAACCTCGCTCTGTCCTCAAACCTCAAACCTCTCTAAAATCCACGACTGCCAGGGCAGTGAGGACACCAGAATGGTGCTTGAGTTAATACCCAATGTAGAAAAATGATACTGTAAATTTGCTTCAGGACAATATCATTATTCAACTTGTCATCCAAGCATACAGTTCAGTTGAAAGTGACTGTGGGTAGGTCTGGCCAGGCAGAGGGTCCCAGTGCCCAGTTTTCACTCCCTGTGCTTGTCTAGTGAGGAGAAATTAAATGAGACAGTCAACAGAGTTCGCTCATTGCCAAACATCTCTCTTTCACAGGAGCTGGGATGTATGGTTGCAAACAGCTTTAATAGATAGATAATCGTCAATACTGTACACAGCGCACAATATTATGCTGACAAAGCTCAAATCAAGGTCCACTTTCTAGCTGCCTTGCTCTGGAGCTTTTCACCATATACACACTCTTCATTAGCAGAGTTTGCTCAGTTGTCACAAAACTATAGATATTAAAAGATCTCATTATTCTTTGAAGACTTAAAGTTGTCACTGATTCTTGATCTTGGAAACCACAGATGACAATACAATCCCAACTCAAGGTCCATTTACTTGCTTGTTCCAGAGCTTTCGACCATTTCGACACAGTATTGCATGTTCTAAAACTGTTAAAAATTTCATGTCATTGGATGTTAGAACATTCACAGTTCAATGACAGAGAGCAAATTCCATCGGTTGATGAAGACTAAGTAAAACTGTCGAAAGCTTCAGAACAAAAGCCAGGAAGTAGAGTTGAGACTAGAAAAAACACAACAAATGACTCCAGTGTTTATATAATATATAATATATTTGTCTGAAAAAGATTAAATATAATATAATAATACAATTATTAGATATTTATATGTATAATGACATTTAATAGACAGAAATTCCATCAGACATACAGTATGTTACCTGTGTTATAATCATAATTATTATGACTGCACAGAAAACGTCAGCTATATAACGAATATAACTTTTAAACTAATGAGTCTTGCTGTATTTGTATCTCTGATACCTATGTGCTTAGGTCAGGCGGGAGTATGTTGACATATGTGTTTCCCAGAGACTGATGTCAGCTAGTTGAAGCATGTTTTGGGATCTCCTCAAATGTTGGTATGTACATGTTAAAACCCCTTTGCTACCATAAATCTCTCGGGGCAGCAGAGTTAACTGCAGGGCACAGTTTTGCACTCCTTTTGAGTTGGGTGCCCTTACTTCAAACAAGGAGTAAAAAATAAAGCGTTTCAGGTACACAAATCATTTGTGGTGTCTCAGGTGTCTATTTTGGTCTATAATACTATTTATTTAGGATGGTGACGCCATAACATGTGGGAGAATGTTTCATTTCTCCCAGGCTTTTCATGGTTGAATTTACACATACTCCCTGCGCTAGCAACACAAGCAAGCAGTGTTTCACGCAATCAGCCACAATGAAATAAGACACCTTTTCAGTTTGAGCTGAATGGCTTATGTTATGGTCACTTTTTCTCGTCTAGTGACTTTTCCTTGGAAAAGTAAGCTCCTCACATGGTCTAGTAAAATATAAATAAAGCATATCTGGCATACCTCAGCATAGATTTTCCATTTTATGACGAAGGACATAAGCTGGTCTTATGTCATAAAACTGTATAGTCTATATTCGCCTTATGTGACATTTAAAAGTAATCACATGTTGTCGACCCAACATGTCAGACCCTGGTGCTGTTATCCTCCGCCACAGTGGCTATTAGAATAAATCTACAGTATCTCCAGCCCTAAGACAGACTAGACTTGACCCTTCTGGTTTAGTCTGAGAACATAAACTGAGGCAAAGGTGGCCTGTGTTCTATGTTTGCCCTCCGTATCCTACTGTAGTCTTTGTCTTGGACGGGGCCACGGTAGCCTCCTTGCGGGGCCTAGCAGGGACTTCAGACGAGCGACATCCTGCAGCTGCAAGATGTGGGCCAAAATCAATGTCCTCTCAGGAGCAGAGCGCTGGGAAAGTGCTGCATGATCAGATGGGCTTCC